GGACTGGAGGAGAGGGTGGCCTACATGCAGGGCAGTATACCGTTACGGGGACACCAGCCTGATTGTCTGCTGTCGGTATCACAATGTCCGTCTCCTGGCCTTGATAGGAGACGTACCCGTTGACTGTTAGGTTAAAGTTTAGTGCGTAGTCTCTAGCTTCTTCTATCGACATCTCAGAGCTGGGCGTACTGCTCAGTTCCAGACATTTCTTGGTGTACAAAAGAGTTTCCTCATGGACGTGATAAGTCCTGGACACCTCCGTCCACAGGTCCTGGTACTGTTCCATCATCTATAGATTCGTGATACAAAATATATATATATATATATATATATAGGCCTTAATTTAAACATTCCAAAAATACAGACTAATAAAATACTCAGAAAAAAACAAACCACAAAGATAAAGACACATTCATTGTGCTAGGACAAATTCATGTAAGCGATGTTTCTTGTCGTTATTATGTTAGTAGGCCTAACTGTTTCTTTGTATTTTTAGAGTAGTTTCCAGTTATTTCTTATATCAACTCACTCTGTCTGTTTGTCTGGTCAAAGGACACGTTATTTCTCTCACACCCAATCTCGGATCAAGTGAAAGTTTGAACAATTAATCATGGACTAAAACAATACAACAATAATATAAAAAAAACTAACCAAATACTCAATTAATTTCTGGTAATTATTATTTTGTTTGATACCAACAATGGAAATAAATCCTTCAGTATTCACAGATACGCCTAAATATATAGGGTTTTGTCCCTTTAGATAATTGAACAAGTTATTTCTCCCACACCCATTCTCGAATCAGGTTGAAACTTATTAAAACAATTATTTATTGTACCTAAAAAAAATGAATCAATTAAAAAATTAACTAATTAGTCATTAAAAAATTGGTATTTTTTAAATATATATAGTTGTAAGTGTGGAGTTCTTTCCCTTGGATAAGCTTCGTTTTTTTTTTTCAAAGGTATTTTAAAAATATTTTTCTTGTTTTGGTTTGGTTTCGTCATAAAACGTCAGCTGCTATGAATTTAGAAGTCAGCACATAAAACTTTTTTGTTCATTTTCTTCTCAAAGTGTGTTCTATCAGTGCCTGGTTTTTTTTCTATCAACGCTTAATTTCTAGTGCCATTAGGCTAAAGAATCTAAAGAGTAGCCTGTTTCATCAATTACTTGAAAGTCAATCACTTTAAATTTAAAGACTCTAATTAACATGTACGACTAGGTTATCACATTGATGCTCGTAGGACGTAATACACTTTCTTTTTAAAGAAGCGACTGTAATTTATAAGATATTTTCTCTGTTTGCGTTAGACTTACCTTGTAACACTTAATACATCACGTAGCCAGTTGAAGTAGACACACTTGTCAAAGAACGATACTCTCATTTGTCCTGTTACACACTGTAGTCTGTACGTATATGTCATATAAGTTTTAACTCCACACACACCTTCCATTAGACCTGTATCGTTTGTCAACGTGACTACTTGACAGTCATAGTCATACACAACGCATGACACAGAGTAACAGGTACTAACAGTGTTATCGCAGCATCACTAATCTAGTTGTTGTGTGAAGGGCGGCGCTAACATCGTAGCGAATTCGGATATCTCTAAGGCTGACAATAAATTTTGGCACAGATTTCCTTTGTTACACCTAAGTTCTAAGTAAACAATTTTTTTTTTAATAATCATGAGTCGATTACCTTTCCTTTTAGAATCGATACTCTATTTTAAAAACAAAATTGATTGTAGTATATTGTTGTAACTCCGCTCTCGAGCCACACTGATGGTGCGCATCAGAGCGCCATTCAACACAAGTAGTAGAAGACATGTTTAGACAGGAAGAAGGACAGTTGTGGATCCGGCTAAAGTGATGGAAGTCTAAGCTGTCTTGACCCAAGAGAACGTCCTTTGTGCTATCTATGAACTGTGTTGAGGACCTGGGGCGGTGTCGGTGGTCTGTATTGGTATTTAGATAGGAAAGGACTGGTGTCACTTGAGATAGGACACTCTAGGACTTGATGGCTGAAGTCCATGCCTGTTTGTACTGTAAATAAATACCTAGTTTATTGTTACCTCCTGCCTTTTGTTGAGTGCCTGCCTTAGAGTTACAACAATATTAATAACATTTGCCGAGAATTTTTTTTATGGTGGGGTAGATTTAGAAACCTCTGACAAACAGTAAGAATCTTCCCAAGTTTAGTCATGGCCTCTGAGATCGGATTTAAGGGTCGGATTTAAGTTTGTGGAGGCCCAGGGGCAAGATTTTTATGGAAGCTCTTAAATTAACTCTTTCGAAAGCTTGAATAAAGATCCACTAATGAATACAAATACTTAGAAGCATGCTATATTTTAGAAGAAAGAAATACAGTAATTGAGTATGTGATCTCACTTTCCTTTTCTTTGAAATATTTAATATTAATATTTTAGTTTTTGAAAAAAGTGTACATGATTGAGTTTGTAAGAGGGTATCCTTTGTAGACGCAGTACCATAAAACCCGAGCTTTGCCAGTATTTACTTATTCCGAGCACGCTACAACTTGAAGCAGACACAATCATGACAGTGCTGCCATCCGACGTAAGAGTTAAAGTATTAGCGTTAAAAAATGAGAAAAACAAATACTCAAAAGTTTCTGACCTGTTGAATTCCTACAAATTTTTCTCTTTTGTGGAGGTCGCGGGGGATGTAGCCCCGCCTGCCTTCCCTTAATTCACTGGGCACTATTTTGGTTGCTATAACAATCGAGTTGCCTTATTGCTATTTTGAGTTATCTCGTCCGCATTTATTTTATAAGATAATATTAGTAATATTACCCAGAAGACTGGACAGCATGGAGACAGACTGTGTGACGTGCTGGCACGAACCTCGCCAAGAGCCAAAAGAAACGAAGCCGCACTTAGTCAAGAGAAAGAAAAACAAAGTTGCCGCCCCTGTCCGTCAGCCCTAAAACAGATTCATACACATGCACGAACTGTGGCAAACTCTGCCGCTTAATTAGTCATACCAGATTATGCCCGTCTCAAGACGAAACCTAAAACAGTGACTCATCTGGGAGCATCCATTGTCTTCCGAGACAAAAGGAGCCACATGTATATAGATTTATATTATTCAATTTCCAATGTCTAGGGTTTTTTTTTTTCAGGTGTTTTTTTTTTACGTGCATGACAACTGCAAACTATTAGAAAAAACAAAAAGATTTACTCTGATGTTAAGCCCCTACAGTCTGTACTAATACAGAGGATAGGGATCCATGTTTTACCTTTTTTGTCCATCATATCGTGTTTTAACGAGGCCAGATATTTGATGGATCAATTTCCAGGTTGGTTTGTTCGACATAGATGCATCATGCTAAGGCGAATAGACTATTCTTTAAATTTATTATAAATAAGATGTGAAGGTGGCGAGTGGGATGACTCCACAACCTTTTTACTACCCTAGATTCCCGCCTTTAGTAAGTTAAGAAACAAAAAAAAAAAGTAATTTATTAAAAATATAATTCCCCCTCACCCTCGTGCTGCAAATGCTTTTTTTTTTTTTTTTTTTTTAGCGGCCCCCGAAAAGGGAAAAAACGCTATTAGTTTTGTGTGAAATGTCTGTCCATCTGTCCCGTTTAGATCTCGAAAACTAGAAAAAGATAGTGAAAATCTGACATAATATTTTAGAACATTCAAACTTCTGATGCAACGGCTAATTTTTTTTTTTCTGAAAGCGAAAAATCTAATTTTTAAAATCACTTATGCAAGCAGTTTTTTTTCTTCATAAAAATACACCACTTTTACAACTATTAATAGTAAGAATCACAGTAGGCTCTTTAGAAGGAGAGACTCCCCTTAACCACATTTTAAACATATTTATGCTTATGGTTTTAGATTTTTTGTCAAAATTTTTTTTATTACATTTGTATTGCTGAGTTATGCAAGTTCTGTCTTACTAACTACTACATTTACACACAAGAAATGTTTACTTTTTTTAAAGAGAAAAATCTATTTAATATGCTTATAAGTTAGATGTAATTTGAAACAATTAATTAGCTTTTCATATTATCGCGTGAAAGTGTGTAAAGTGCAGTGTCTAAACATAGATATAGTACACTTAACTAAAGGAAATTTTTTTTTAAGGAAATGTATTTTTCTTGAGGAATTAGAGATTGGCCCTTTACAAAAAAAGTAGCCTACATCAATTAGATACTCATTATAAGACATCAATTAGGCCAGGTTCACATTTAACTTCACATTCACTTTCACCTATCCTTTGTCTGCTGGATTGCTGGGGCACCACAAAAGATCTGTCAATTTTCTTTCTCCATTTTTCTCTGTCATTTGTCTTTGACAGAATTTCATTCTGATGTTCTTTCTGAAAATATTGAAACCTGCCTAGATGGACCACTTCGGGGGAACGATTTTGAGTTTGTTTTTCCACACAAACTGTCTTTGTAAGCTTGTTTAATAAGAGCAATATTTTTGTTCTATTAATAACTATTGAGCAATAGAAAAAAAAAAGAACACCGCATTGCGCCCCCCCCCCCCCCCTAAAAAAAATCCTGGTTAAGCAAATGTAGGCTATAAATCTAATAAGAATATTTTAAATTTTAATGATTAGGGCAAAATAGATCCTAACCATCTTGACTTAGTAGACGGTGTACATAATGAATGTCTATTTATTTAACTCTTTAATCGCGAATACATGCAAGACAACATACTAAACACTGTGCCAGCGAAAAGCTTATGAAAATAGAAGGTTTTATAGTTATCTATTGTCAAAAGTGGCGACCACTTTCTCTTTGCAAACTATAAAGGGGACTATAACACCACATCAGCTTAGTACAATGACAATATCTTTCCTTTGTTTGATACCAAACAAAATAATTAATTACCAACAGAAAATTACCTAATGTTTTTTTTGTATTGATGTGCCTTGTCAGGTAAAAGAAATAATTGTGCAAACTTTTTTACCAGACAGAATAAGTGGATTTAAATTTTGTAACAAAGGACTGGAAAAAGTTTGATGTAAATATATATTTATTTCCTCAATGCAATACAACAGATATATAAACAAAAGTTGTTAAATTCAAAGACAACCATTTTGTATTCATAACCAAGTATAGTTTCGCACAAATCTTACAAGGAAAAATGGCAATATTTGGTATTCATAGTAAAGATAGAATATAATATCTTAGAATTAGAAGAAGAAAATAGGCCCAACTACATTCCAAACAATAAAAACCTTTGATACACTGAAGTAAAGACAATTAGAAAAATGTTACAAAATAAATGAAGATCTGTTTATTCTTCTTGTTTGTGGAAATTACAAATATTTCAACTTGACCATTCAAAAGCAAACATCTAATAAACAGATACAAACAAAAAAGATAATACTCAGCAGCATTCTCTGTAAAAACAACCAACATATACCCAACATATAGTTAGTAAACTATCAGGAAAAAATGCAACAGCAAAAAAGAAAAAAAAAGATATTGCACATGGAAATAATACATTGCTTAACCATGCCTAAAGATACACATCAGCCTATTGAAAGTTTAACCAGGCCTAAACATACACATCAGCCTATTGAAATTTGTTTGTTTAACCAGGCCTAACCATATTTTTATATATCAGCCTATTAAAATATTGTTTAACCAGGCCTAAACATACACATCAGCCTATTGAAAGTTTGTTTAGCCAGGCCTACACATCAGCCAATTGAAAGTTTGTTTAGTTTTTTCCTTTGAAAATTTATTAGGAAGGACAAAAAAAATATGCAGAAATGAAAACAGTATGAATACAATTTTAAGACAAGGAGAAAAAAAAAATTTAAAAAATAAGGAATGATATTCAGTAGTAAACATTGAACAGGCAGTATAGCAGAGCACACATTTCTTTTTTTTTTATTGTTAAGAACAAGCTAGAACAATCTACCTGCCTTTGTACAACTGTAAGGCTTGAACGAAGCAGCAAGTCTTACATCCAAAACATTTTCATTGAGAAATGTTGAAAAATGATTAGCACCTAGAAGCTGATACATTAACTTTAACTAAAGGTCTGTGAAGACAATCACTGGATTATGTTATGATTAAGTCAATTCAGTGTTTTTTAAACCTGACCAACAAGCATCTATTTAAAGAAAGGACCATTGAGAGTGAGCATTTACAAACATCCAGGACATTGACTACTAAAACTAGGCTGTAATGTATGTTTCAGAAGTAGAAATTACAAAATCATTTTTAGTAAATTATGGCACAACAGCCATTTTAGTAAAGTAAATGTGCAATTGCATACATATCTTGTACATTTCAGTAGTAGATAATTACAAAACAAACATTTTTTAAAATAAATTATGGCACGATTGATTGCTGAATGACAATGATAGCTGATTGCCATTGTCGTAAAGTAAATGTGCACTTGCATACATATCTTATTATTTTAATTTTTTCCCTCAAACAAAAATAAATCAACAAGAAAACAAATTTAGTAACAAAACTTTTTCAATATATCCATGCATCCTTTTCATTCTAATAATACATTGACAGTGTTCTCTGTAAATATAGATAATAAACTATTAAACCTTAACTTACAATGCACTCACGTAAATCTAAAATGTCACAATCTCACTAACTACACTAGTGTCAACAAATTTATAAATCTCACTAACTACGCTAGTGTCAACAAATGTTACAATCTCACTAACTACGCTAGTGTCAACAAATGTTACAATCTCACTAACTACGCTAGTGTCAACAAATGTCACAATCTCACTAACTACACTAGTGTCAACAAATTTATAAATCTCACTAACTACGCTAGTGTCAACAAATGTTACAATCTCACTAACTACGCTAGTGTCAACAATATTAAATATCACAAAAATACTAGATCCTTTTTTTTACAGATTTAAATGCATGAGTTGAACTAAAAAATAATTTAACCTACACAACACAATTCAGGAACTACCATCCGGGCTTTACTTAAGTTTGATTTTTATAGCACAACATAAAACAACATCAGTTTTCATCAATAGATTCTGATTACTTCAATAAAAATCAATCAATAAAAAAAAATAAAAAAAAAAAAAAGCACAGCATAACCCTCTTATTTTAGATATAAAATGACAATTGATGTAAGAATAAAAAAACTCAATTTTCTTTACTTATTTTGAAAGTGGAATTTCCAGTGCAGAAGATATTGCAAATCTTAAATGTGATTACATTACAGAACACTGAGTAGGGTAATCACAAGTTATGAAACAATACATCAGATAACTGTTATAAACTAGGACACTTTTAAACAAAAACTACATTAATGTGACAAGTGAAAGGTATTTGAAAATAATTAGTCTAAATAAAATTCAAAAGAATTTTACAAAGCATATACAAGAAAATTTCATTTGAATGATAGCAAAATTAGAAGAAAAACAATGGGCCTTACAAGTCAATGCTTTAAAAATAAAATATGACCAATCTAATTTTTTGTAAGATAATTATTATTACCATGGTATAGTAATTATCCAATAATGAAAAATCCTAATAATTTGTAACATGAAATATAACAATGAAATCATTTTCTTTCTGGTTTAAGGCATTTCATAATATAATACTTACACACACACACACAAAAAAAAAAAAAAAAAAAAAAAAAAAAAAAGAGCACACTATTCAATACTTTACATTCACCTAACTGTAACTTGGAGATTAACAGGAACCTTAAAAAAATTCAACCTAGAAAATTAACTAAATTTAAAATAAAAACAGGTTTTAAGTGACAAATGGAGTTCATCTTTTTAACCGTATCATGCCAAACCACTCGCTTGAAAGAAAGTCAATAACATTGTACTTATAAAATCAAATTACATTTAAGAATGGTCATGGAATTGTTGAAATTAAATTTTTTTTTTCTAGAAGATAATTCAGTAGTGTGACATTGCTTTTGTTTCACCTTTAGCCTTTAAAAAGTAGGACATGACAAATTTGAAATCACTATAGACAATAACAAAACAAATAATATATTGTAGATTTTCATAAATGTTGGCAAATCCATATATGTAAAGCTTTTTGGTGTATCTGGTGTATCCAATAACATTATGTATAATCTCCTTAAAATAGTAAAGTAACAAAAAAACATGTTCTCTCCAACAACTTGGGTTTACAATTACATGCATCAATAAATATACAATTATAATGAAAGTGACTTTAAACCAAATCAACGTTCTAAAAATTAGGCCATACCTACAATGCTGATAGGTTTACATGGAAGGATCACTTTATATCATATGACTAAACTTTGAACTGTAATGGATAGAATAATTTTTTAAAAATAAAAGTTTCTAGGGTTGAACCTTTATGTTGACCTGTGCGTGGTCGGAGATTAGTGAATGCTTGTTGACACACCTCAAAAAGTTGACTATCAGAGCTGACCAACCAGTCTGGTGACTATGAAACAAACAAATGTTATTTCAATAAACTCCGAAAAAAAATCTGTTATGGGTAGGTGAAACACAAATAACATGGAAAATGAATGAACATGCCACAGATAGAAATTGTCCAAAACTAAAATAAAGCAATCTAGAATGAATTCTGTAGCTTCTGTAAACATTGTTAGGGTAGAAGAAGGGAAGGAGAAAGTAAGAGAAAAAATTGAATAGGTTAATAATTACCTGGCACCACAACCTCGGCCTGTTTCTCCATGGAAATATTCATAAAATAAAATCAAGTCTTTCCAGTGTTTATCATTAGCATAACGACTGTCACCACCTAAATAAATAAACAAATGTCAGGACTTGCAATTACATTTAGTAGTCAATTCTTTAGTGGAAGCTGAAACACTGAACACGAAAGAACTGATTAATTCTGTATAACTGCGGGAGGTTTGGACAAGGAAGTAAATTATCTTCAATCTCTGAGGGAACAATCGAAACATTTTACAAAGTTTGTTATAAAAAGAAATAATACTAAACTTGTGTGTATAATATGTACTTTTGTTTTCTATTGTTTAGCAGAAACTAAAAATTTATTAAATGCAAACAAAATGAATATAATCATTTTCTACAATTCACTTGGTTCTTTTTTTAAAAATGGAAATAAAAGTTTACATTGAAATAAAAACATGAGACACAATAATGGGGAATTTATTGTATACTATATTTTCCTAGTAATTAGTTTCTTACCATGACAGGGTCTATGGCCATCTGGTCCAGGCAAAAATAATTTACTTAGTCTTGATGACAGTTCTTTGGCAATGTCTCCCAACCTCATTAAATTGCCTGAGCCTGTAGGACATTCCACTTTTAAACTGTCACCAAAGAAGGTGTCATAGCGCTCCAAGTTCTCAATGATCATGTAGTTCACTGAAAACACATTACACAAAACAGCATTAGTTCTAATGACACCCCATATGGAACCATCAGTCATGAACATGTACATAATATCATTTTTCAAATGTCCTACCAATTTTAAAGTGAAATCCACTCAATTTAAAGTGAAGGTAACATGTAGTGACTTTGAATCACAATTGTTTGAATAACGATAGAAATAACTGAATTCTATGGAAATCTTAGAAGGTACTTCCCTCTTAACTGAAGTCCTTATTATACAGATATGTATATGTTTTCTCACTGTTCTCCCCTAACCTTGACAAAGTATTCACTGGAGTAAGACATTTAACTACAACTTTCTTGGGCATTTTGCTTTTGTTATCGTTGTGCCTTTTTTAAAAAATCAATAGCAAGAGATTTGTATTTGCTTTTAAAAGAATATGATCTTTAAGATATAGATGATATTTAGTCTGTTTAGAATTTAAAGAAAAACAATTATAGCAGGGATAGCGTTTACAATACAGTTCATATTGTCTGGTGTGTTTATGATTTGAGGGACAGAGGAGGTAGAGGTGTCAGTGGATTAGTCTGTGCCCCAAACTGGGCTCACACACCCTCATTTGGGTTGACAGACATCTGTATATGATGTCACATATTATACACTAAAGACACACAAAATGCAGTGTTAAATTTGTTCTATAGCAGCACGTTGAGTTTTTAGTTTCAGATTTTCTTTTTGAACTGAAGATTATTACACCCTAGCCATAACTTCAAACAAGGGTTGGCAGCCGGCAGAGTACGAACTTGGGACCATATAGAGATATCAGTTGAAAGCTAGTGCTACACAGAGGGCCATTAAAGAATTGACTTGTTATGGGTGGGTGAAAAAGGTGCTAAACAATTTTTTTAATGTTTTATTTTAATTATATTGGAACTGGGCATGAAAGACTTCAAATTAATTATTTCTTTTTCAATAAGGAAAAAGAGGGAAGAATTTGAATTAAGCAGAATTTTGACTTATGCAAATTTAAATTATCTGGATTCCATTGTATGTTGTTTTTCATAAAAGCTCAGTGTTTCATTATTTTGTAAAATATCATAGAAGATTGCAATGTAAAAAAATAAGGCAAAATGGGTGACCTATAGAGGTTTATAAATTGAGGGTATTCTATAGAGATTTTAAAAATGTTTTTCTATGCAGTTTTTTTTGTTTGAAAGTGTCCTAGTTTAAAAGAAAATAAATATTTAAAAGTAATGCAAAGCACATTTAAACAAAAAGATGTGTCTGACCTAACAGTTTTATTCAAGTTTATTGTATTGGCAGAAAAGAGAAAAGTAGCTGATTCACCTTGTTTTTATCACAAAGAAAAATGACAGAAAATTCACAATTTTAAAAGAATTTTTTCACTTTTGAGATATAAACATGAAAGACAGAAAAAGACAAACAGTACAACAAAATATAACAGAGGAATGAAAAAAACCTTACTTGGAAGCCATATTGGCCCCCTCCAATTACTGTTTCCTCCAAACATATTGCTGTGAGACTCAGCCGGGTCATAGGACACAGTGTAGGTGTTCTCTCCAGCTTGAAATGTAAAGGGATGTTTCTCATGGTACTGAGCATGTGCAAAACAAAGCATGAATTACAGGACTGAAGGTTTGAGAAACAATTAGTAATAAAACTCTGGAGAAACATTCTACCAATGCCATCCAGCAATAACCATAGTTGAGTACTTAAAAAAACAACACTTGTATCAGCTGTTGCTATGTTTAAGGAAAATAATAACACTTTTATATTAATTTCACTTATATCTTTTTTTTTCTAACAGAAAAAGAAATAAGAATGATAAACCTATTACATTTTAAATCTCAAGCAAGTTATAATATGAAAAAAAAAAAAACCTCCACAAACACAAAAAAACAAAACAAATGGACCTTACTTTAGAAAGTGACCGAATTCCATATGGAGACAGGAACTCATTTTCATCTAGCAAATATTTCAGAATACGAATTAGTTGCTCTTTTGTAACTAAAGACAACATAATGGCCTGCTCTTCTTTTGATTCCCCATCAACAGGAGAGCTGCTTCTATATAAAATCTGTTTTGAGAATGAGAATTTTACAATGCAGCTTATGCATGACTAAAGATGTGTTCAAACTACAAATGCAAACTAAACTAAATGGACATCCTGTATCTGATGAACTGAGAGTTTTACCTGAGTTTTACAGGCTAAGCTTTTTCTATGTTCCAAAAACCATTTGGTTCTCTTATAGAATCCTGGATGTTGTTTTGTTTCAGAATCCCATAAGACCAATGAAGAAAACAGTGGTACCTATAAACAAAGCAAAATACATATGTGTATGCATAATTTGTTATTCTTTCAAACTGAATGGGTCTTTCATACTGACTTCTACATTATTATTTCTGAATTAGATGTGGCAAAGTATGCAGGCAGAAACTGGATCTGCCTAGTTACATGAAATACTGCACTCATCTTGAAAGCTTAATCAGAATATTATTTTCATCTCACTTTTAGAAATACATTTGAAAACAATTATTCCTGTATCTTACATTTCAGGATTAGATCAAAGTTAAGATTATCTAACAGAGTATAACAAATTTTTGTTTCATTTAATTAAGTTTCTTCCCATTGGTAGAGAAAAATGGTTTATCTCATCTCCAGAGGTCAGTTTCAGAATTGGTAAAGAAAAGAATAGTCTCTCATTATACCCTCTTTTACCTTAAGTGCTATGGATCAACAGAAAATTTTCAAATG